CAAAAATTCTCAGAGACTGGGCATCTAACAAAGTATTCCATAAAACACCCGATGACAAAATCCACTTTGATGCTGCTTTCTTCGTCAAATTCAGAACATTCAACGCTGCAACCGACCTTAGCCTTAGCCTTCGGGAGCTACTGACCCGCTCCACATACTCACCCAGAAATGAGTTGAATGAGGATGTCTGGAATTACATCCTAGAAAACCCTCAGAAAGTTCTCCTTATCTTCGACGGAATCGATGAATTTAAATCTAAGGCTGAAATCAGCGCGGAAAAAAGTGAACTTCAATTTAGAAACAGCGAAGACGAGAAGATGCCCCTCCCCGTACTTTATGCCAAACTTACGACTGGTAAACTTCTTAACAGAGCAGCCGTCATAACTACTACGAGACCCACAACTTGGTCATGCATCAAAAGTATTCCTTTTGACAAAAAGTTCGAGATCCTTGGCTTCTCACCCGAACAAGTCGAAGAATACGTAACCAAATTTGCTGAAGAAGACAAGGAAGCAGGCGACACAGTAAAGCGTCACATCAAAAGCAACATCAATATCTTATCTCTATGTTATATTCCCGCAAGTTGCTTCATCATTTGCTCAAGTCTCTTTAAAATGGTGAAGTTCTACGGTTCTAAAGGTCTTAACCTACCAACAAGTTTAACAGCCATTTACAAGAGAGCCGTGAAAATTTTCTACTTGAGACACAACGAAGACTTTCGCGATAAACATTTCACTTGCGAAGACTTTAAATCAGATGAATTGCCCCGCGAAGAAGAAAAAAAATTGGAGAAACTAGAAAAATTGGCATTTGAAGGAATAAAAGAAGGAAAACTGATCTTTGGAGCAAACGAAGTACGCGGAATGGAGAACAGCGCTCTATTTCACCGCTTACCCGACCGTGAAGTTGACTGGCTTAAAAGCGAAGAACAGTTCTGTTTTATTCATCTCACAATGCAGGAGTTTTTCGCTGCGAAGCACCTAACTAACATGAGTGAAACAGAATTAAAAACCTTTGTTCAAATGAACATTAACGAAGGCAAATGGCAGCTGGTTTTTCAGTTTGTAGCAGGATTAATGGAGGATAAAAATGACCTACCAAGCGAAATTATAACAGACCTTCTTCCTGTGAAAACTGAAGAAATAGAAAGCGCAGCCTACAACGTACAGTGGACAGAGAATGAAGAGGAAACGAAAGTGACCTGCTGGCCGACTGATGACGAACGATATTTAGCAGTGACATTAATGAAATGTTTAAACGAAAATAGTAGAATGAAGTCAGAAGCACAGAGAAAACTTCAACAAATTAACTTTAATTGTGTAAATTTTTATGCTTGTGACCTCACAGCTGTTGATTGCTCTTCGTTAGTAAATGTAATTAATGTTCAACAAATTTCACATTTAAATTTGAGTGGCAATAACTTTGGTCCATTAGGTTGTTTGGAGATTTGTAAATTGTTAAAATGTAGGGAATCTCAACTGAGCTGGTTAAACCTCATAGATAGTCAATTGACAGATGAAGCAGCAAAGTATTTAGCTGAAGCCATCAACAACATCAACTGTCAGCTACGCACGTTAAACCTCATAGCAAATAAAATCTCAGACATTGGAGCACAGCACTTAGCTGAAGCCATCAACAACAACAACTGTCAGCTACGCACGTTATACCTCCACGTAAATAACATCACAGAAGCAGGTAAGCAAAAGGCACGTAATTTACTAAGCAATAGTCAGTCTAAGTGTAAGCTAACAATTTAGGCCTCAGCAATTCCAATTAAAAACTAAAAAGAAATTATTAGAACCACTTACTATTCAAAATAACTGTGAGGTAACCAGCTCAGTGATAATTACAGCCCAACAACTCAAATCGTGAATGAAAGCAAACTTACTCTGTGAAGCGCTCAGAGCAGCGAGATTATTTGAACCGGATCGAAATGAAGAAAAATGAACCAATGAACATGTTTATTGAGAACAAACGATGTCAATCTTTTTTCTTTTTTCTTTTTTCTACAAGAACCAATAACATTGAAGTAAAAACACAAATCTTCCCGCAGAGAAAACAATCAAACCTCGGACCTCTCAGGAAACTTTTTCATTTCATGATTGGTTAGTTTCGATCCTAAATTCTCTCCATGCTTCTGTATGTTTTTATCGCTTGAGAGTTTTGTGTGAGATTTTAAGCGGATTAGATTAGTGAATACACTGGTAGTATACCAGGTTTTCTTTTTTTCATTTCTCGTGTTTTCTATAATTTTTTTTTGATTAAAGCGAACCGGTTCAAGTAGTTTCGCTTTTCTGGCAAAATATCAAAAAAAGATATGAAACCACTTTATAAATCAGATCACATTGCTTTCAGACAGACCCTAAGCAAGGCCTTTTTGTAGGTTTTTGGTGTAAGATTTACATAACATTTAAACAATTTGACTCAGGGAGGTTTCTGCATTTGTTGTAAATATTAATGTAATTTATGTACATATTTATTTTTTTCATAATAAATTTTGTAAACCAAATTCAACTTTGTGTTGAGATACATTTGGCCTCAATTGTTAGACACATATCCTTGTAAAGAAGTTATGAGAATTTGGTGTTAGATCAAGATAACAAATTCTACCTGATAAGTTTGAGTATTCTCATTTCCTGTTTTCTGGATAATGCCTGGATGTCATGAGAAGTTGTAGGGTGTAAAATTTCTGGGGGGAGGGGGGGGGAAGGGGTTGATTGGCTGGCTTTATGAAATTTAGTATTACCCATTGCCTTATCAACAAATGCACAATTGTTTGTATGATCATTGCTTCTTTAATTTTACATAAAAACCAATAAAAATATTTCAGAGTAAAATGAAGTACAACAACTGTGAACATTAATCACAACACATATGGCAACTCCCTATAAAAGTGGCCCCACTATTGATTAAGAATTCTACACAGAGTTAAAAAGAGAAGTTTTAGTTGAGGAGTAAACACATAACTCCATAGACAGTTCTTTTACAGTACTTGGTAAGTTAAAAATTCTTCTATAATCTGAGGGGAAAAATAATCCCAGTTTAAATTGGCACTCCCAGAGAGACAAGTCCCTACAACAGTTCCCGTTGATGCTTTAAAACCAGAAGAGTGACCAGCATCTAATTTCTCCTTAGAGTAATACTGGTGAATCATCCATCAAGATCATGAGAATTAAGAAAATGATCACCATCCAAAGAAGCTTCAATTGTTAAACAAATTCTCTATTGTAAGGAGAATTTCTGTCTTCATCTTTAAAGTTTAAACTGTAAGAGTGACTAGCATCTAATTTCTCCTTACAGTAATACTGCTCAATCATCCATTAAGATAATGAGAATTGAGAAGATGATCGTCATCCAAAGAAGCTTCAATTGTTAAACAAATTCTCCTTCTTAAAAAAAGGCTGTGGTTATTCATTGTGGTGAATAACAATAAAAGCTAAGTTTTTTGTTTGTTTCACAATGTAGTCATGTGTGATGTAGATCGCGATGTTTCAACTGCATACTGCTAGTCTACTTCAAGCGATGATGTCAACTGGTCATGCCTGATCTTATAAAGCATGATGCTCTGCTGTGATTAGTTGTTTTTCAACAGCTCTGATTGGTGCATTTTGATCCTTGCTGTTTCACTCAGTGATTAGCTCTCTTGGCAGTCTGCTGTCACACAGCTCTCTTGTTGTTGTGTTTTTTGATTGTGGGCATCCATGCTTCTGGAATTTCTATTCCACTATCCCTGTTGATTGACCCAGTTTTTCTGACTCCCATCTGATAATACAGGGTTGTCATTAGAAAATGTATTAGATGTTTGATCTGAACTGAGTAAGCAGCTGAATTGATTTATGCTTGTGCAGCAGGTATTGCATTTTTCAAAGAAACAGACCCTACTTAGTAGGGCCAAGGGCATGTTACAGAAATAAAATAAAATTCTAACAATGAGAATTTGGTATTGGATCAATTAATAATCCTGTAACTGATATTTCTCTTTATTCTCATTGATTGTCTGCCTGATCTTGTATTGATATTGTAAAGAGAAATTCTGTCTTGATCACTGACCAGAATTAAAAGGTTGAAGAACACAACAAATTTTTACCCTCAGACACACCTACCTTTAAGGATGCAATGCAATTTGCTGACAAATTCAAAGTTTTTAGATTTAAGTTTCCATTGAGAGAATTCCCTGTGGGTAAAGAAGAGAATGTTATTCATGCGATTTACTGTACATGAAAAGCGAAATGTTATTCATGCGATTTACTGTACATGAAAAGCGAAATGTTATTCATGCGATTTACTGTACATGAAAAGTGAAATGTTATTCATGCAATTTACTGTACATGAAAGCGTAATTCCTCATCATGAATAAGAAGGCATGGAGATCAAAACTAGAAAATGATTGTGCAGAAACATTAAATTTCAATTACTGCTCACCAATTTCTGTAATCTTATTTCCTGCCAAGTTCAGATCAAGGAGATAAAGAAGCTTCTCTAAGCCCTAAACAAAAAACATACAGTTACTTCTTATTTTCTCTAAGGCATCACAGCAGGTCAGAATCTTAAATCCTTGAATCTGATTGGCTAAACCTTGGTCCGCAAGAGCAAACCAGAAGAAATGAGTTAATAAGTTATCCACTAGCCTAGGTCAGTCTCTTTGGGATAAAAATGATGCCTTGGTCTTGAGTACAGCCCTCTGCAATTAGCCTTGGGCTTTACTTAAGACCTGAGGACCAGTTATTTCACATAATTTTTTATGGACTCCCTCCACTGGTATATAGCATATATTTACTGAAAGAGAACTGACCAATACATGCACATCAGTCAGACTTATAATAGAGACAGAGACTGTAAAATAACTATATGCTATGCTGCAAAGAAAAAAACTGTTATTTTGAGTTTGTATTGTGTATGGAAGAAAGAAAAAATTCTGAGCTCAAACACAACTCAAAAGCGAGACTATATGTGCATTGCCTCTTTTCATGTGTCCCTCAGATAACAGAACTCCCTTAAATTCATACCTCAATTGCAATGATATTGTTGTTGTTCAGCCATAAAACATTCAGCTGTTCCAGGTGAGAAATATTCTCAATCTTTGTAATCTTGTTGTCATATAAGAACAGCTTTTTCAACTTCTTACAGCCATCAAGGCCAGAGATAGCCTGGAAAGTAGAAATTCATAGTAATCAATAAACAGTATCATAATTATAATTTCCTAACTTGTGATTAGTGAGTTAACTGCTTTCTTTTTCACAAGTCATTCTGCACAGTTGTAATTGGACAGTGTAATCTGACAGTTGCTGTAATTGGACAGTTGACTGTAATCAGAGAGTTGGCTGTAATTGGACAGTTGGCTGTTGAAGCAACCAATCACTCTAAGTCAACTCAGCTAAATCTGCCAATCACAAAATTTCTCACAATAACCATACCAACAACCACTTAACCTAAAAAAAAAGTTGGGGAATTTCTAAAATGGAGGAATTTTAACTTTAGACATTGTGTCTACCGAAGATGTTTGTCCTAAATGTACCTTCCTCTCAATGTGTGACTTTATAGCTCAGTTGGTGGTTTCTGGCAGGCACAAGTTTGAATCCTGCCAATTTGAAATTTTAATAATTTGCTTTAGGATTTTCCAATCTTAGACCTCGCAAATTTTGGCAATTTCATGTTTTTTTCTTTTTAATAGAGGCATGGTTTGCTTAAGTTCCCCATTAATATTTGAGAATTCAACCTTGACTTGTACTTACAGTTATCTTGCTTTCAGACACACATAACTCTGTAAGGTTTGGCAAACAGTCCAGATTCTCCAGTGTTGTAATCTGTTGTCCCATCAGAGTTAAATTTTGAAGATCTGGGAAGTTCTCCATACCAATAATCTTGGGAAATCCAGAGAAGAACATCTCCAGACTAGCAACATTCTTTCCTGCTCCTTTCTGAAGCTTTTCAAATTTGATCCCATTTACTGTGCACTATATGAAAAAAAAGAGAATTGCTTATTAACCAATTCACTCCCAGCAGTGACCAAGACATACTTTCTCCTAACAACACCAGTACAATTTCATGCAGATAAGTAATGAGAATATAGAAAAATATCCTTTAGGAGATAACCAAATGTTCGATCCAAGAATTAATTCTTAGAACTAAAACTATGAGCAGTGTGTGGCAGAAAGTAAGGAGAGAGAGAGATCTTGGGATTGAAAGGGTTAAGAAAAAGCTTACTTCAAATCAAGGTTTGATAGAGATTCTACATTGTGTTGTGAAAGTGCCAAATGACACCCTTCAGCATGAGGGAAAGCTGAGTAATCTGCATCATACTCCAAGCTACATTTTACAGCACAATATAGCAGAAATAGGAAATGTAAATGAAGGTGATCTTCATTACTAAAAAGTAGTAGTGAAAATAAGGCCTGAAAAAAATTCAGGACTGTACAGGATGTGAACCCATGACCTGTGCAACACATGTGCAGTGAATTTTCTTCAGGCCTTATTTCCACTATTACCTAAGTAGCATTTATAACTGCAAAGATTGCTTTCATATTCATTTCTTCAGTGCAGTTCAAATAATTCTATGATTTTAATATATTTACAGTCAGAAATAGGAAAGTAGTAATAATGATGACAATAATTATGATATTTAATGAGGGAACCTAACTTGCCGAGGCATTTTTCAGTGGGACCCTCCATGACTAATTAATTGCCTGGTTGGTTATAAAAAACAAATATGAATAAAAAGTAACATATATTCCTGATACATAAAGAGAGTGAAAATGTTTTGTGAAATGAAAATGAATTGAATATCAAAGTAGAAATTACTTAAAATTAGTTAAACCCATTTAAAAAAGTTTTTAGTTTTTCTTTAAAAATGGATAAAAACTTTGTTCCTTTCAAATCAATCAGAGGGCTTTTCCACTCTTTCACAGCTTGGTCAGCAAAATTATTTGAAAGAAACATCTTTACTGAATATTAGAAATTCTCCACATACCATGTAACATAAGTTTGCCCATTGCTGTGCTGTTATAATTTTTGAACACATGGACATACTGGTATCTTGTTTTGTGAAATGAAGTTTTGAAATATTTTTAAATAACATACACCTCAATGCAGCATAGTATCAATACTACCAAAAATAGATTTAAAAAGATTGGTTCCACTCTGTAAGCAATAATTTTAATCGTTGTTCTGAGAAACAATACATCCTGAAGACAAGACAAAACATTTGCACCACAGAAAAAAGGTTTTTGGTACATTTACAGAAATGAAGAATAAAACTACAAAGAAGTTCAAGATAACTCACCAAAAAAACAATTATTTCAAAATGTTATTCTTAAACAAAAGCTTTTTCTAAGGTGGTTTGCATGATCAAAATAGAATGCTTTTGTTCTTTAATTATTACCCTAAAACATGTCCAATGAGTGGATATTTAGTTGTATATCATGCTGACAATAATATCAGCAAGAAATTAACCATTCACTTATCTCACCACAATTAAACATATTTTTGAATGTATGATCTGTGCTTCATTGTGAGACTTTCAAACAAAGGACAGTAACATGGAACTGAGTGAAAAACCAAGTGCAGTAATTATATGCAGATAAAATGATTTGATGAAACTGTCATCATGATGTTTCCACAGTTCTCCTCTTCAGGTTTACATCTTGAAATAATCTCTTACTACTGCCTAAAATTGATTGAAATTCTTGAAAATTCAATGCTTAGTTGGTTTAAAATGTTTTTTTATCTGTCATGCTCAAAGTAAGGGAGAACAGTGTGTTTCATATTCATAGTGGAATCAAAACATTGAACAAAGGGAAATTTAAATTAAGCTACTGTTCTAAGGAGTAGAGTTTACAATTATGTATTTTGTATTGATAATTTACTTATAACAGAAACAATACAATGCATTAACCATTTAACTCCCAGATCAAATTTGTCATTCTCCTTACTGTCAACCATACAATTCTTATAATGTTAGGTCAGAGAATTAAGTATTGGATCAACTTATTATCCCCAAATTGATATTTTTCTTCATTCTCATCACTTGTCTGGTTGATACTGTAATGATATTGTAAGGAGAAACTCTGTCTTGGTCACTCATGAGAGTTACAGGGTTAAACAGAGATACAAAATAGTTTTTCCCCAAGTATACTTACTGCCACAATCAAGTCTTTACTCAAGAGAAATCAGAAGCTAATTACTCTTAGGAGTCAAAGGATAAAAGAAAGATGTTATTAATTGATCACAAAAGAGAAAAGAAAAAAGCAAAGTCTCCTATGACAAAAAACCTCAGAATTCTAGATTTTGTTTTGTAGTGTTCTACCTCTGAGCTATAGAGACCCTCCTGGTGAACTAGGCTACTACCAACTTCAAATGATGTGACAGGTGTTCTACCACAATGTTGACAGCGTTATGTGGCAATATACAAATCACAAATTTCTCTATTAGTTCTATAATTGTCAACCAATGAATAATATCTTGCCTTCTCAATAACAGAGCTCATAATTTACCACCTCTGTGAGAGTCTGTTATCTAATTACTCCTTACAAAATCACCCACAAATCACATGTTAAGGCCACAAGACTAAAGGAATGATTTCCAAGAAAAGAAAGTCTTGATTTTTCAACAAATTCTCCTAATTAGCACCTCAAAAAAATGTATGAAAAACAGTATAGAGAATATGCTCACTGATATTGGGGTGTAAAAGTTTATTTCATTTTTGGGTCTCATTTTATTTGTGCATAGCATGAGTGCAGTGATGCTAAACAAAATAAAATCAGTTACCAGTTCATGAAGTTGACATTTGTTTTTGGTCTTTTTTGCTCCTTTACTGCTTGCCTGAATTGCCTGTTTCTTTCCCAAAGAACAAAACAAAACAAAACAAAAAATACCCAATCACATAAGCAAAAAAATATGCAGAGCAAACAACATCTCATCATTTGCTTGCCTGTGAGCAAGCCCTTATTAATAGTGCTGCAGGAAGCATGTTTTTCCTGCCCAAACGAAGATTTGAGAGGAGTGGGGGAGATGCTCATCAGGGGTCTGGCACTAATTGCTAAAACTCTAGCAGACCCCTCCTCTCTTCTAAAAGGTCCTTCCCATTTCACCCCTCTCAATCTCCTTTTGGTGAGTGATACTGCTAGATAAATGCACCTACCAATGGTTTGCCCCAGGATTGGGGTGGGAGGGGGGGACAAGCTACCTGCAGGAAATTGATTGGGAGGATCCTCCTTAGATGGGGATTTTGACATTTACCCACTGATTTCAGGTCAGGAGTTTGACCTACCTGCCATGTTAGGAGTCCAGCAGGTGATTTTGAAAACCTGAAAATGTCATATTCCCCTGGGCTGGCAAATCTCAATGCAAAGCTGGTAAATCTCAATAACAAACTGATCACCTCCCTGATTAAGAAAGCTTGTATTACTGAAAGTACATAAATTTTTAAAAAATTTTTCCATGCTGCATTTTAGATGATTGAGACAAACTGCTTGGCCAGCTAGCACATCTAAATGAAAAACTGTTCACCTTATTTAATTATGACAGCTTGAATTATTATTAATTATTGCATAAATTATAATAATTTTTCGGTGTTGCATGTCAGGTTATCAAAACGAAACGAATCATGTGGCCAGCTGACAATTTTCAATGACAAACTGATCATCTTCTTTAATCGTGACAGCTCGTATTACTATTAGTGCATAAATTAGAATATTTTTCTAAGTTACATTTCTATGTGATCCATTATTTAAGTGCATTTACTCTTTGCTTAATTGCTTAAATGAGCTTGAAAATAGTAAAATGTCAGGTGCAAAATCTGATTTAATAGATCAGTGCAATCGATACCTTGGAACAGCAGGAAAATAGAGCAAAGGAAGGTTTAATAAGGAAACATCTGGATATATTATTGTGATTATAATAGGTCAGGGCTCAGTTGTGTGGAACAAGATGTTTAAAGATTGATGCAGAGCTATCCGCAGATTCGTAAACAACTGTTGTTTGCGATGTTTATTAATCTATATCGATCAAAACAACACAAAGCATCACTCAAGAAAAACCCAAAACAAGTATAAAAATAGAACGCAACCCTAACGAGAATTAGCCATAAGACCTTGCCGCATCTGCGAGAAAAGTTCACAAATTTCCCAAACAGGAGTCTTCAGTGTTTAAACTTTGTCAAAACTCACCAATTCTCTCAATGATTCCTCATCTTCACCCGAAGAGGCTGAATCCGCTTTTTCTTCTCTGGAACCCCTCATTTTATTGACTTGTCATCATTCGTTTTCGCGAGGAAAAATATGTTGCAGGAGGATCTCTACGCATTTGAAGAAAATTGGCTCGATGCAAGTGATGACACACCGCCATGTTTTCTCGAAGACTCAAAATGGAACAATCTGATTGGTTTACAGTTGCTCTAGAAACTTTCCCGTCCCAGGTTTTACTCCGGATTCCTGGGTTTGATCAGGAAGTTGACACTCACGCTTCTTCTTCGACAGCGCGCACTTAAAATTCCTTCTCTGATAGCTGCAGCCAGAAGGTTTAACAGCAGTCTTGTCGAGACTAAACAAGATGGAGAGATCTTCCTTGTATCGATTGCACGACCCGAGAAGCGCAACGCGGTTGATGCAGAGACCGCGAAAGAGCTCGCAGACGCGTTTAGACATTTCGAGATCGACGATGAAAGTTCAGTGGCTGTGTTGTATGGGAAAGGAGATACGTTTTGTGCAGGATATGATCTAGGATATCTATCTACCAGGGGTCCTGATGAGTTCCTGAGATGGCTCACCCCTCCTGGAGAAGGAGACGGTCCCATGGTGCGTTACAATGTTTACGTTTATGACAGACACTGAAAATACGAAATACAAAAATTATTTGAAATTATGCAAACACTTGGCATCTTTTTTGCTATCTAAAGAATTCTATTACTAAATTTTTTTTTTCTAGTTTGTTTTGTATTGCATTCATTGATCGTTTGTCCACTGGTGCAGTTGTAGGGGCGATGTGGAAGAAAAATAACTCTTACATATTGGAATATTTCGGATATTTTCCTGTTATCCTTTTTTCATCCGGTGACTATTTCAAGAGAATAGCTTTGCTGAACAATTTAGCCATGAAATATTGCCATTAAAAAACCCTTTAAACCATGTTATCCTGATTAACAATGCTAATTTGTGAGTAAAATTGGATGCCAATATAAACACAGAGAGAATTCCCATAGAGACAGGAGTACAATATGGATAGTATTATCAGCTCTTTGAACAACTGCACTGTGGTATTTTATCACAGAAGGGGTCAGGCCCCATTTCTCAGTCATCATTTTTCAGTATTCATTCTCCTTTTCCCATTCTCCAATTCCCATTCCTCGTTTTCCATTCTGCATCTCCTTTCCTCAACTCCCCATTCTTTGTTTTAACTCAGAGGTCCACCTTGAGAGCAAGCTCTGAAGAATTATTTAAAACACAATAGGAACTTTATGGATTCCATTGAGTTGAAAATAATTGAAATCATACCACATAGTGTTGAGGTAAAAATCTGTGAAAACAGATCAAATAACTTGAAAAATGATTTTTTTGCATGATTACTGATTGGTGAGATGCATGATCACCCAAGGTGACATGAGAAGCTTTTGATTAAAATCCCTGTCCTTTTTTGTCATGGCAAAGGAACAGGCCCTTAATATTGGGGATTTGGCACAAATATTTCTTCAAATACAAGGAAAGTATGAGGTGTTGAACAATGCAAGCTGATGAGAAGTCTACAAGGGATCTCGCACACTGATAATATATAGATGTTTTTACTCTCTGTCCAGGGCCCAACTCGATTGAAACTCATTAAACCAGTGATTGGTGCCATTGAGGGACATGCAGTTGCAGGAGGAATGGAGTTGGCACTGATGTGTGATCTCAGAGTTGTTGCAGAAGATGCAGTCATGGGAATGTTCAACAGAAGATTTGGTAATAAAAAGCATTAACAGATAACCTATGCAGCCCTTAGCATACATTGAAAGAAAAATCTTCTATAATTGTGGCAAAAGGGCTTAGTACAGTGGCAATGTGCGGCTGTTTAAGGCAGTAGTGATATTGCCATCTAGGGGGAAGTAGTGATACTGCAGTTACTTCATGCAACCACAATAATTAGCTCTGGCTCGGTGGGTGAATAGGTTTGAGTACAGACCGTACCTTTTTGCTTTGACGAAACAGCATTATTAACATATGATATTATAATTGTACAAAGGTGTGCCTACAGTGGATGGAGGTACAGTGCGGTTACCATACATTGTTGGTCTTTCACGTGCATTAGACCTGATCATGACAGGCCGAGCTGTACATGCAACAGAAGCTCTTAGCATTGGCCTTGCTAACAGAGTTGTTCCCAAAGGAAAAACAGTCAAAAAAGCTCTCAAACTTGCAAAAATGTTGGTTTGCTTTCCAAGAGAGGCACTGTGTGCAGACCCCAAATCTGTTTTCTATGCCACATTCAATGCAGATTCCTTTTACGATGCTCTGACATATGAATACTCCAAAGGAGTGAAACTGCAAATCATGAAGGATTCCATTGAGGGAGCAAAGCAGTTTTTACAGGGGAAAGGCCGTAAGGGTTTGTTTGATGACTACTTGGATTAAAATTGATTTTACACATTACTTTTACACATCAATTTAAGAACAAAGTGCTAAGTATTGAAAATGAATTAAAGCTAGCTAACTTCAAAACATCATCATATTTAACCCTTTAACTCCCAGAAGTAATTAACATAAAATTTCTCCCAACAATATCCATACATTATTCAGTAAACAGGTAATGAGAATATTCAAACTTATCAGGTAGAAGCTGCTATCTTGATCTAACACCAAATTCTCATAACTAATTCACAAGGAAATGTGTAGCAGCTAGAGGGGAGAATTAACAATCAGATCTTGGGACTTAAAGGGTTAAATTAAATTTATTTTCAGTGAGATGAAGACTTCTACGTCAAAAGAGATGTTTTACGGGTAAAATTTAAAAGACTGAACTGTAAGCATTTCCTTTGTTTGTGTTGTATTTATTAGGTTTTACAGTATGTTTATTTAACCCTGTGACTCCCAGACCAAATTTGTAATTCTCCTTACTGTCAACCATAAAATTATTTTAATATTAGTTCAGAGAATTTAGTGTTGGATCAACTAATTATTCCCAGATTGATATTTTTCTTTATTCTCATCACTTATCTGGTTGATATTGTATTGATGTTGTAAGGAGAAATTCTGTCTTGGTCACTCATGGCAGTTAAAGTGTTAAAGTAGAAGCCTTTTGTTTATTTTCATGATTGCTAATCTCATCCCATGATTCATTGTAAACTGGCTGTTGTGTGTGTTGATGCATTAACCCTTTAAACACTAACATCAGTAAGCATATTTATACATTTCCTAAGGTGCTGACAAGGAGAATTTGTTTAACAATCAAGAACTTGTTTGGATTGTGATCAGGGGTGATATTTTAAGGAGAAATTAGATGCCACTCACTGTTGGGGTTAGGATTAACTAAGGGAAAACGATTGCTTTCATTTGATGTGTTATTTTTAAAAGGCCATTTGCAACTCCAAAAAGTGCTTCTTTTATTGTTTGATTTTTGAAATTCTTGATTCAGTGTATACAGACCTCGTACATTGAGGGACGAAAAAAAACCCACATCATTCTCTATTTATTTTACAGTTCTTAAAGTAGGCAGAGGCCATAAAATGATTAAAAGAACTCTTCGAATTACCAATTTCACCAGTACCCTCTGTGTCTGAAAAGACAAATCACCATAACAATACAATTTTTCATAACAACAAACTTGCCGACGTGTGAAAAATTCGTCAATATTTCCATTTTCTTTTATTCCTGGGGCGCGATTGAGAAGCTATTCTAAAACAGTAAAACAATAAAAACACTCAGCCTGCGGCCTCGTGCTTTCAACAGTTTTCTCGTGTTTGGAACCCTGATGAAAACCGATGCACGAGTTTTTGAAAAAGTAGGTCATCACACTAGGAGCTCCTGAACACACCCCAAAGGTGGTCTGCCCGTGTACCTAAAGGCCTATTTCCAACCTTGATGGAAAGCAGCCGTTTGTTTTTGTTTTGAATCACTTTTGTGGCCTTGTCCAACTTTGTCTTCTGACTTTCCTTTGGACCCACATGGAAGTTTTTGTTTTGGCTAACGCAGTCGGAGGTTAATTCAGTTGATCGGAAGCATTATGATTAAGAGCTTTGTTGTTCATTCAGAAAGTCTCGTGAAATTCTTTGGTTTGGTTTTCTAACAACATTGTCTAGCCATCAAAACCGCAAAAGATTGAAGCGTACTGCCCTCCATCCGTTTACGTATTACTTGTCACACTCAGTAAGAATCGAACATTGTTTGTCTGAGTCACGAGGGAGATACTAAAATTTCTTGATGTCATTAGCACTCTTCGCTATTGTCACGATATTTGTCTTAAAGCTCTTTAATCTTCCCGCCAAGCATCAATCTGGCGCCAAATCTATCAGTTAATTACAGTGCCCTCCTAACCCCTTGCACAACTGATCACGTCCAGCCAAAGGGATTTGGCACCGCGTGCTCTTCACATGCCACGGAATTTTTGGCAAGGCGAAGTGAAGAGCTACAACGAAATAAAACGGCAAAAATAATTTTTTATAGTTTTGGTTTCTGTTGTTACCAATCTAGGCAGGTCATAGCCAGTATGGACTAGTTTTGCGGACTCGTTTTAAAGCGGAAATTTGACGATTTAAAGTTTAGCTTGAGGCGGAAACTCTTGCCTCATCATTACGTTATCTAATCTTAGAGAGTCAACAGACTAATTGTTTCTTTCATCACGTCTCCCACTGGCGTTAAAGAAAGAAGTCACTGACCTGCATCACACCCAGGTGTTTAAGCTTCTAAGCAAGAAATACAAATCTCTTTTGAAGTAAATACCACAAAAAAAATAGCGATACTTGGTAGCTTAGAATTTAGCAGTCTTTAAGCTGCAAAATAACCGCGCTGAAAATTAATTGAAGTTCACAGTGTAAGAGTGAAAAAGACCACACGGGGGCGAATGGATGAATGGAGGTCAAGCGCATCTTCTGAAATAACACATATCTGTCTCCGTCTTAATTTAGTGGTCTGATTTCTGTTTCTTATGTAAACAAGTAAACCTTGTATAAGCCATCGCCCTTTTAACAATTGAAAGTTTTCAAAGAGCCAATCAAACGAAAGTTCTGTATCTTATAAATATGCTATGACCAAACTGACAATTCATTTAAACCGGAGAAAATCAATATTCAAACGAAAGTTACAGAATCACTAAAAATGTCCGTAGAAAAACTATTAGATTATTTAGAGCCAAAAACTTTAGGCAAAATTCACCATGTGGTAGTGGTTTTTTGGATCCTGATTGGTGTCATCTTCCTTGCTATATTCGCCGACATGGAAAACAACGAACCAAGGTTTGATTTCCGCTGTGATGCAGGGAAAAGTAAAAACATCGACTTCGTCCGGGGAAAATGTTACGAGAAATACCAGCAGCAGTACAACAGATTCGCTTTGCCTGTCTATGGCTTCGTTATCATGAATTTCGTCCTTATTGTATTTGTATGTGTTATCTACTCCCAAATAGTAAGACCTACAGTCAATCGACTGTCGCGAAGCATTCGTAACGGCGATCCAGAGAGACAGTCGCGCGATCAAGAGAACGCTTTATCAACGGGAAAGAAGCTTTTTATCGCTTACTGCTGTCAACTATCCACAAGACTTGTTTTAGGAGTTGTTTTCATCATCCTACAAACTCAGTTGTTTTATCCTTTGAGGTTTCCCTCTAAGTTTCACTGTTATTTAACCACCGACGGAACCACTCAGCTGGGGAATTCATCTAACAACGCCCAACACTCTACCTTACACGACTGTCACAATCAACGAGCGGTAAAGAAAACCTCCTGGATGGACGCTGTCTTGGTGGTAAATGGAATTTTTGTCGTCGGCATTCTGATTGAAATCGTCTACATTTTTCTAAGAGCATGCAAAGAAAGGGAATTTATGCAAAACTCAAAGTTTCAAACGTCCCATCTAAATCCTCCCGAAGAAGCATTACCGCTTCAGGAATTCATTCAGAATACAAAGAAAATGATCATGGACGACACTTATCAACCCCCACAACTTCAGGCGCTTTTTCCAAGTCCTCCTGGCAAAGGACACCCACCTAAACATTTGACTCTAGATCAGATTTACACTAACCTTGTTGTTGTACCTGACATGGCTGATTATGACTTTGCTGAAGACCGACGGAAGAATTTGCAAATCTACGTGAACAACGAAACACCGACAGGGCCAGAGGACATTCTTAATCACGAAAACAAAAACATTTTGATCGTCGGTCGTCCCGGAATCGGAAAGACTCTTTGTTGTACAAAAATTCTCAGAGACTGGGCATCTAACAAAGTATTCCATAAAACACCCAAAAACAAAATCCACTTTAAAGCTGCTTTCTTCGTCAAATTTAGAACATTCAACGCTGCAACCGACCTTAGCCTTCGAGAGCTACTGACCCGCTCCACATACTCACCCGAGCTGGATGAGAAAGTCTGGAATTACATCCTAAAAAACCCGCAGCAAGTTCTCCTTATTTTCGATGGAATTGATGAATTCAAAGATAACTCAAAGATCGGCACGGAAAATAAGAAACCTCAATTCAAAAACAGCGTAGACGAGAAGATGCCCCTCTCGGCGCTTTATGCCAAACTAACGACTGGAAAACTTCTTAATGGAGCAGCCGTTATAACTACTACAAGACCTACAGCTCTTTCATGCATCAAAAGAATTCCTTTTGACAAAATGTTCGAAATCCTTGGCTTCTCATCCGAACAAGTCGAAGAATACGTAACCAGATTTGCTGAAGAAGACAAGGAAGCAGGCGACACAGTAAAGCGTCACATCACCAGCAACATCAATATCTTATCTCTTTGTTACATTCCTGCGAGCTGCTTCATCATTTGCTCAAGTCTCTTTAAAATGGTGAAGTTCCATGCTCCTAGAGGTCTTAACCTACCAACAAGTTTAACAGGCATATACAAGAGAGCCGTGAAAATTTTCTACTTGACACACAACGAAGAATTTCGCGATGAACCTTTCACTGACGAAGACTTTGAATCAGATGAATTGCCCCCGAAGTAGAAAAAAAATTGGAGAAACTAGAAAAATTGGCATTTGAAGGAATTAAAGAAGGAAGGCTGATCTTTGGAGCAAACGAAGTACGCGGAATGGAGGACAGCGCTCTATTTCACCGCTTACCCGACCGTGAAGTTGACTCGTTTAGTAGCGAAGGACAGTTCTGTTTTATTCATCTCACAATGCAGGAGTTTTTCGCTGCGAAGCACCTAACTAACATGAGTGAAACAGAATTAAAAACCTTCGTTCAAATGAACATTAAGAAAGGCAAATGGCAGCTGGTTTTTCAGTTTGTAGCAGGATTAATGGAGAATAAAAAAAACCTACCAAGCGAAATTATCACAGACCTTCTCCCTGTGAAAACCGAAGGAAAAGAAAACGCAAACTACAACGTAGAGTGGACAGAGAATAATAAGAAAACGAAAGTGACCTGCTGGCCGACTGTAGACGAACAATATTTAGCAGTGACATTAATGAAATGTTTAAACGAAAATAGTAGAATGAAGTCAGAAGCACAGAGAAAACTTCAACAAATTAACTTTAATTGTGTAAATTTTGATTTTTGTGACCTCACAGCTGTTGATTGCTCTTCGTTAGTAAATGTAATTAATGTTCCACAAATTTCACATTTAGATTTGAGTTTCAATAACATTGGTCCATTAGGTTGTTTGGAGATTGGTAAATTGTTAAAATGTAGGGAATCTCAACTGAGCTGGTTAAACCTCGCAAACAATCAATTGACAGATGAAGCAGCAAAGTATTTAGCTGAAGCCATCAACAACAACAACTGTCAGCTACGCAAGTTAAACCTCAGAGTAAATAAAATCTCAGACATTGGAGCACAGCACTTGGCTGAAGCCATCAACAACAACAACAACTGTCAGCTACGCGCGTTAGACCTCATAGGAAATAAAACCTCAGAAACAGGTAAGCAAAAGGCACGTAATTTACTAAGCAATAGTCAGTCTGAGTGTGAGCTAATAATTTAGGCCTCAGCAATTCCATTTGAAAACTAAAAAGAAATTATTAGAACCACTTACTATTCAAAATAACTGTGAGGTAACCAGCTCAGTGATAATTACAGCCCAACAACTCAAATCGTGAATGAAAGCAAACTTACTCTGTGAAGCGCTCAGAGCAGCGAGATTATTTGAACCGGATCGAAATGAAGGAAAATGAACCAATGAACATGTTTATTGAGAACAAACGATGTCAATCTTTTTTCTTTATACAGGAACCAATAACATCGAAGTAAAAAACACAAAGCTTCCTGCAGAGAAAACAATCAAACCTCGGACCTCTCAGGAAACTTTTTCATTTTATGATTGGTTAGTTTCGATCCTAAATTCTCTTTATGCTTCTGTATGTTTTGATCGCTTGGAGTTTTGTGTGAGATTTTAAGCGAATTAGATAAATGTATACATTACAGATTACCTGATAGAATGCCAGGTTTTCTCTCTTTCATTTCTTTTGTTTTCTACAATTCTTTTTTGGATTTTTTTTTTTCATTTCTCGTGTTCTCTGCCATTTTTTTTTATTAAAGCGAACCGGTTCAAGTAGTTTCACACTTTGGGAAAAATATTGAAAAAATGAGACCAAATTGTAAATAAAATCATTTTGCTTTCAGACAGAAGGCCTGTTACTTGTTCATTCAGTTTGCATTCAAAATCTGATGAAGCATCAGACTTACCCAGTTGAGATTTTAACTTACCAGTTATTGTTAACCCTTTAACTCCCATGAGTGACCAAGACAGAATTTCTCCTTACAACATCAATACAATGTCCACCACATAAGTGATGAGAATAAAGAAAAATATCAATTTGGGGATAATAAGTTGATCCAATACTAATTTCTCTGAACTAACATTATAGAAATTGTATGGTTGACATTTAGGAGAATTACAAATTTGATCTGGGAGTTAGAGGGTTAACAAATGGAGCCAGACTTCCAAATTTGTCAAGACTGTACAATAATTTTGTAAACCAAATTTAACTTTGTGTTGAGATGCATTTGGCCTCAATTGTTAGACACAACTTGAAAGCTATGGCGAAGGGGTGTGGCCTTTTCAATATCAGTCCGGATTTACCAATTTACCAGAGACTGCCTCAAGGTGAGGGTATGAGGCAACCCTTAAAAAGAAACCCCATACCCTATTTCAAATTGAATGATTTTCCCCTCCTTCTTTCAACCCATGCCTTGAAACAACAGTAAAATATCCAAGGAAGTGTAGTCACATGTAATCAATGTACCATATATCCTTGAGAAGGTTCCTGGCCAGTTTAAGGACACCTGTTAACCTTTTTTAAAGCAAGATTCATGAAATCAGTGGAACTCAGCACACACAAATAACAGAAAATAAATCAGAGATAAGAAATAAATCCCACAGGCAAAAGGAATGGGAAGAGGAGGCAAGGAAACCTCACAAAGATTTCCACTTGTTGCAGCTACGAACAACAACAACAACAACATACTTTATTGACTTTCCCCAAGGGGGCTTTTCAAAGACAATGTTATAAAAATAATCCTATTACAATTAAAAAATCCTATTTACAATTAAAGATGTTTTAAAATCTGAATCTTCTAAAAGAAAAATAAAAGCATAAAATACATAAAATTACAACTCTTTGAGTAATTTGGTCCTTAAACGTTTTTTAAAAACCTTAACGGAGTTGCACAGTTTAAAGGAATTATCCAAAGAGTTCCATAAGTTTACAGTTCTATAGAAAAATGTTCTCTGACCGCTAGCTGTTCTAAAGAATGGAATTTGCAAAAGCTGCGAATTTCTGGTGCTACGTCGACTAACCTCGGCTCGCTTTATGAATTTTGATGAGAGGTAATCTGGAGCCTGACCAGTCATGCATCTGAAGGCCATAGTAGCGTTCCGGTAGTAAAGCTGGCTTTGAACTGAAAGCCAATTTAGTTCCTTGCGAATTGGTGTAACGTGGTCAAATTTACGCGCACCGCTAACAATGCGGCATGCAAAGTTCTGCACCGCCTGTAACTTGTCAACATTACATTTTGAGGTATTTGACCAAACATTGGAACAATAAAATAACCTGCTGAAAACTAAGGAATTAATAATCATCAAAAGTGTACGTTTGTCGAAAACATGCTTGACACGGTTGATTTGGCCGAGGCGGGACATGCACGAGGAAGCGGTCATAATTATGTGTTCATCGTAAGTTAAATTAGAATCCAAAATCACACCAAGGTCTTTGGCGGTGTCTGCGGGGACGATGTCCTCACCCATAATGGAAAGGGAGCGAAATTGCAATTTTGCACGCATCTGCCTGCTGCCAAATATCATCAGCTTGGTTTTGCCAGGGTTAAGTAACAATTGGTTGTTGGAACACCATTCTCCTATTTTAAACAAGTCGTCTTCCAAATCAGCAATTGCATCCAGGTTGTCTTTAAGTTCGAAGGAAGTGATGAGTTTCGTATCATCTACATAACTCTGAGTGCTGCATTTCTGTGGGATCGATGGAAGATCGTTCGTATATATGCTTAATAGTAGTGGGCCTAAGATACTTCCTTGAGGGACGCCGTTGGTCACGGACAAAGGCTCAGATAGCGTTGAATGGATTCGTACTACTTGTGTCCTGTTGCTTAGGTAACTACGAAACCATTGGAGAGCGTCTCTGGAAATTCCGACATCTTGCAATTTTAAAATTAACGTGTCGTGATTGACGCTATCGAAAGCTTTGCTCATATCTAATAGGACAACTGCCGTTAACTTCTTTTTGTCAATCGCGTTAAGAATTGTGTCAGTTGTTTCAATCACAGACGTTTCACATGAATGCCATCTCTTGTTACCGCTTTGGCTCTTTGATAGGGTGTCATTCGATTGCAGATACGAGGTGAGCTGATTATGTACTACCCTTTCGCAAACCTTTGATAAGACTGGTGTAAGTGAGATGGGTCTATTATTGTTTGCCTGTTCCCGGTCGCCCTCTTTTGGGATTGGTGTAACCACAGCTGTCTTCCATTTTGATGGAAAAACACAGTTTTGAAAGGATGCATTAACGATAGACGTTATTGGGTGAACAATTGGATTAAGACAATCCTTGATGACACGGATCGGGATTTTGTCTATCCCTGGGGCCTTGTTTGAAGGCATCGCTGCTATTATACGTTCTATTTGTTTATAATCAATGGTACTCAGTGTGAACTGGTCAGAGAGAGCGTATTGTCTCGGTACAAAATAATTCTGATTAAGTGTTAGGTTGCATTCATTAGCCAGGGACGTAATTTTGTCAACAGTGCTCTGACCAACAGATACGAAAAACTGATTAAATTCGTCTGCAACAGCTTTGTCGCTCTTACTGTATGTTCGCTGAGATGTAGATTTGCAGGGGATGCACTGGCGAATTGCTTTCCAGATATTATTGGTGTTATTTGGATTCCTCTGGATTTGTTGGGCCACAAATTCCTGTTCAGCAATTCTGATTTCCCTCTTTACTTCCTGTCTGAAATATCTGTAGGCAGTCCAAGATAGCGGATCATTTGTTTTCTTTGCTTTCTTTCGCCAATCATCCCTGGTCTTCATCAATCCCCGTATGTTGTCTGTTACGCATGGATTTGGTTTACAGCGTGCTTTGAAGGTTTTAACTGGGGCATGGCGGTCGAGTATCTCAGTAAATAGCGAATCAAGTGCATAAAGTTTGTCCTCGACATCGTCGAAAACATCAACTATGGACCACGGTGCCAGTGATACGTCGTTGCTAAATTCAACAGGACTGTAGTGTTTAAAACTTCTGGTTGTAATATAGACGGGTTTGGCGCGCGCTTTCTTCAATTTTAAGGTGACATAAACCAAGTCATGGTCGCTAATCGAGCTTTCCATAACCGTAGCCGTTTGAACTTGTCTTGTGTCCGATGCAAGGATAACATCTAGAATTGATTTCGAAGTCTCTGTAACTCGTGTTGGCGTGTTGATCAGTATTGACAAGTTATAGGAACGGCAGAAATTAACAAGGACATTAGCTCCAGGATCGTTGCTATTCTC